GAGAATTAAAAAATAGACTTTTGAAAGGTTCAAAACGGTGAACCGGAATTCTGTTTTCTATACATGGTTGATACGTTTTGATTATGATAAAGTTTAATGAAGCAATGAACATCCTTGACAAATTTAATGTTCTCCATTGTGGAATATATTTTTCCTCTGAGAAAAAAAGAAACGCTAGTTTCTCACTTCTAGACGTCCTCACAACTAGGAAAGGAGATGACACAATATAAAGGAGTATATATTAAAGACCCACATTGATTGGCTAGTGTAATCATCTTCTGCGTTTCGCAATTTTGAAATCTTAGCGCAGCTTAACAGATGTTTGGTTCACAGAGCTAGAGTAAATTTATCTAACAACTGTTTCAACATAGAACTCAAGATAAATATTTTGTCTATCAAATTTTTAATATGCTCATCGAGCTAAATAACTCGATACTGCACTGAACTTTCAACTAATGTTGGACAGTTGCAGGGAGTTTACAAGAAGTTCTGAACTTCAACTTTATGGTCCTTAGCAGTCGTAAGCAAGGTATATCTGAAACCTCTAAGGAACCTATGTCCCCACAGTGATACGAAAACTCATCGCCCAGTAGTGCAGTCCATGTGGTTATCATTGAGCTACTCAGGTCTCAAGATTTCCCTCCCTAGAGAGTAATCATTGTTATATGTCTAATCCTAGATGTTGCTGTTGATCGGCTTTTTTGCGACGGTTTGTATGTAATTTCTAGATGTGTAGTGGTATAGTTGTTCTCTCAATGATGGAAGGTTCATTCGTGGAGCTTGCAGTGTCATTCCAGACAACATGTTCAGTGTAGACTTCAATTTGAAGTGAGATTATTTGAATTGTTCGCGGATTGTCTCTGTTAACGACTTCGGTTGCTATGGCTTATTAATCTTTATCGATCGTTCTAGTGACCTGGAATTTAGTATTTGGTCATGTGACTTATTCTTTATAAGTTGATAATATTTGCGTAGGTCACAAATTCATCTGAGAAGTAGCATTGTTTTAATAATCCCGTGACACTTTCCAATTCACACTGGTGCCCAAAGCTGTCAGCATGCAATGATTTGAAGGAATGGATGTTATGTTCTTTGACAGCCAATTTATGATTGTAGGTACGAAGTTGACGAGAACATTGTCTTTGGACAATTCATGATGTTTTTGCCAGTCGTTTCATTTTATCTAGTAGATGATTTTCGTTTTGTCTTTATCAGACGTTTCGTCATTCCGCTGATATTATAAATATAAATTGAAGTGGTTTCTTTGGTTTATAGACAAAATCTACTGCAAAATATTTAAACAGCCTTGAGTTCTTCCTTCAGTTTGCATTGACAGTTCAGCGGTAGAACAATGGTGAACCACACAAGTGGTACGTAGTTCGATCCCTTGTCGACGAACTCATCAATCTCGCTAGGCTGGTAGTAAGTCCAATAGAGAGAAGGCTGTTTATGGAGCTAGCAGACCCATCCCATAAAACAACGCCATTGCTAATGAATTTTGAAATCTCTAGCTTCAGGCCCTATGTGCTGCTGGGAAAGCAAAGGAATAAAATTTTAAAAATGGATCAACAGTCTTCTGGTGGCTTCACAAATGTTCTTCTCACAGAGTAAGACGATTTTTTGCATGCTTTCATTGGATGAACAACAGAGTCATTACTATGATAGTATAAGTGGCTGAAGAAGTGTCTTTTACATGCACATCTCCAGTTTTCCTATCTGCATGCAGATGATGAGGTTACTGATTAGACACTTTTTTGTATACTAAACAGTCTTTTGAAATTTATAATAGACATCTTCATCCAATTCAGATAGCGTCTTAAAAGACGAGATGTATTTTTTACCATACATTTCAGACAATCTCATCACATATTCACTGGTGATTTCAATTTTTATAAGAATGAAAAGTAATTTGAGATCATTTTAGATCAACATTATCATAAAATATTCATTAGTGAACAGAAAATATTCTTTTTGATAACTTTTAAATCAGGTTCTACAATGTTCATGAACCATCTAGTACAAACAGGTCGTAAAGGCACCATTTAAGAATCTTTTTTTGTCAATTACCAGGTACCGAATAAATCGCCAAAAACACGTCTAGATAATGTATATTCCAAGCCGTAAAGGCCATTAGGATTCGCCGTGATCAACCGGAGCTCTGCATGAATTGCAAAAGAAACAGGTCCAGCCACCTTTGATAACCTGACCTACTGGCGAACCTATTAATTCTTGAATTCTGTGATGCTTCACTTGATTAATCTGATATCGAGTTTAGTGTTATATTAACGCAAATTGTCGCCCTCTTTATGGATGCTGTTGAAATGTACTCTACCGATACTACTGACTCAGTGTAATTTAATCCAGGATTAATGTTGTTTATAACAATATCTCTTGCATAAGTTGATGATGATTTTGTCGAAAAGAGTATTCTTGATTCATTAATCACTCTTTTAAATTTATAATGGGAATCTTCAGTCAGTTAAATTAAGATCATATGCATCAGTCAGGAATGGAACACAGACATCCTGAAGTAATAAATAAGACCTTATAACCTTGATTTCTACTTCGATCCACATCAATGCTTTGAAACGTAAACCTTTTGTCTTTTCGGTGAATTCATTTCCCTCTTTAGCTGTTCAATCACATCTGTACACAATATATTAATGAAAGAGGGTACTTATAAAAGTGATGAGATGCCACAAACATAGTTGTTAAAACTAGTCAATACATAAGAGAAGTTGAATGAGTAAAGTTACGCCTTGAGATGGCTTGTAATCAGGATGCACATAAAAACAAGTGAAAACGTGGAATTATGTCACAGTTCGAAAGAAACTCAGGAGTTAGACAGAGTTAAAAACCAAACAGACTAAATCATGTTAGAAAGATACAACAAGCTTCCTACCGTGATCGTAAATGTGGTTGATTAATTCTCGCTTCTACGTAGAGCTCTGGTTTCTCTGAATCAATATCTAAAGCATCAGCAGTGTAAGAAGGATGAAAGTGTATTGCACTGGCCAGATTGTTCTTCAATTTATAGACCACTTTGGAGTAGGCGTTTGTTGAGACGGAACGACCAGTGTTGACAAGGTGTTCAGTTTTCACAATCCTCATAATGCCACTACTAACTTTCTGCAACCATGTGACATAGTGTTTTTGAATCCTTTTAGACAGGATACACGTCGAAAGATCAATATACTCGGCTCCATAACAATAGATGAACTGATATATGCGCACAGAAGTGGTCAGATGCGAGGCTTTTGCAGACTTCTGAACGACTGTAGAACATTACTCCTAGCTTTGTTGCAAATAATGTCCTTCTCAAGATTGAGGAAATACTTCACTTAAGGATATCACAACATCCTTCAAGAACAGTATCCTACATGACTACAAAAAGCCAAGAATGTCTCTGTGAGGAGTGTGTTAATCGAACACCTTGTCAACACTTATCGTTCCAACTGATTAAAAATGCCCATTAAAATTTTCAAGAGAATGGATACTGAACAAAGAGTACTCTTTTCGATAAATTCATCATCATCAGGCTCTACAGTCATATATACATTATAGTGAATGAATGAATTAGTGCTTTGAACAACATTAATGTTGTTTAAATAACATCGAATCAATAATATTGATAGATTACAGCTGAATCGCATCAACATAAAATAAGCTGAATGTCAGAAGAATTAGGAAGGATAATATTACAAATTCATGAGTTTATAGTTTCTACTGAAGGCCGGGGCAATAGTAGGGGCTGGACTTACTTCTTTTGGATACAGAGCGCTGGTTGTTTGAGGCGAATCGCAGTAGCCTCTGCTGTTTTGAGCCTGAGGTGCTTTGATGTTTTTGGCAATTTATTTGGCACCCGGTATAATACAGAGAAGGATTCATCTATGCTGGCTTTGTGGCCGGTTTTTACCAGATGTTCCAATATCAAGCTGTTAATAGTTTTCACTACACCTTTACTTAGCCGTGGTGGGAGATGTTCTCGAGCACGAAAAATCAAGTTGCTAGAGCGACAGCCAATATAACTGGCTCCACAAGAGCAGTTGAATTGATAGATACAATTAGAAGTGGCTAATCTTATCATTCCACTTCAAAAAACGCCTCCCCCAAAGTAATCTACAAGGTGAAGAATTACCTCACAAAGTCAAAATCCTTCTTATTCTTATTACATCTCAGTCATCAAATTATTCATCACTTATACAATGACTAGTATTAACAACTATGATTGTGACAGCTCGTCACTGCTGTTACTACCCTCCTTCATGAGGCACTTGCATATAAATGCGAATGTACAGCTAGAGAAGAGAATGAGTTCGCGGAAAAGTGCTTCCCCGACAAACTACATGTTGTTTTCGTAAATCTCTGAACGAGGATCATTCGCGAACTTTTTCTCTCTTTCCATTTAACTGCAAATTATATGTATATTCATACCCTGTTTATGCATTCTACGGTTAGATATTGAGCTAAAAACTATTTTTAATTATTGTTCAAAATTATAATCGAATTCCTTAATTAATTTTTCAAACCTTTATGCTATTTCGTAATTAATTTCCACCTCATGTCGTATTTGGGGTTCTTTTTTATCGTATCATGCTATATATTTATATGTCGGTTGTTCTGTGGTAGAATACTTGTCAATCAGACGGGATATCCATGTTCAGTTGCTAGCCAATGCACTCCGAAAGTCAACTTATTATGTTAGTCGTTATTGAGTCAGGAATAGAGAAAAGGGCGGATTTAGGGCTAGCCACCATACTGTGTAAAAACTTCATGTAATTCATCTTGTGATATACAACACGAATATCGTACAAACTATAAAGGAATGAGAAGCTGAAATCCTTAGCCTATAAAATATCGACCCCTTGGAAAGGCTGTGCAAACCACTGAGAATTTCGACCTATAGATTATGATTTCATAAAAAAAACATCCGGATATTGCATCCAGGAACTGTGCAATCGATTCATAAACAGCACCGGATTCTTGACCAGCTACTTATGTTACAAACAACGTTCCTCTTCCAGAACAATAGCTACTGTTGGCCAAGGAACAACTAGTGAAAGAGCGCCAACTAATTTTAAGGCTTCTAAAAGGTGTGTTTTCAACTGTTCACGTTCACATTCAGAATTTGGTGACGGTAGATTATTTTTTGCACTAAAATTTCCCAGTTGTTGCTGGTAAATTTTTGTCATTTCAAACAGTGCCACAATCGGTTGAGGATTTAAAATATTTTTACAAGATAACTTAAATTATTCTTCAGGGCCTCCGGTATTTCCCTGTCACTGCCATTCTCCATCTTATTAATGTTGTTAGAGTTTGACAGTCTAGAAGATATATGAGTAGTACTGTCAATAGAGTAAGTTCCATTCAAGAATTCTGTACAACCGGGATCGTCGTCTGCATCTGATGATAAATTTTGTGATGATAGTGAGAGTTTAACCTTTACATTGCTAATTTCTGTGGTAGGAGCTGGGAGAGGAAAAGACAGAGAACTACTAGGTTCATCCCTGAAGGAAACTACTTCATCCTGTTTATAAGACTCCTTTGTGGGTGACAGACTGTCAGGAGCATAACTTTCAAGAGTATTCCAAGGAGCAATTTCACACACCTTTCTGTTTGAAGAAGGTGACTTTATACGTGGAGGGCAGGTGGGTGCACAAAATTCAGAAGATATAACATGCTTTTGAACACGTGGAAGTGCAGATGGGGGTGATAACCAAGTAGAAGGATAACCAGATGAAAGACTCTGAGTACGTAAACGTTTCCGGATGGGCAGTTGTGGAGAATCAACACTCTTCTCAGTATCAGTTGTTTGACTTACACTCATCTTGTGATGAAAGCTGGCTACGAACAAGCTAAAATTGCAAACAACAGATTACGTCAATGTTACGTCCCGAATCAAAGCCATGGGAAAAACAGCAACAAAGCTTAACCTTGAGGAACTCACCAACCAATCACAGTAGACTTAACGTGTGCAAACAGGATTCGCAGATAACTGGCTTAATTTTCTGAGAAACTGTCACAAGTAAGAAAACAAGTAATCATAAGACGTTGCTTCTCCGCTGACAATCTATAAATATCTCCTGATTTTCTCAATAAACAACCTGTAGACTAGCCTTTATCTTTTGTCGTTACAATCTGTCGAATACGTTTTTGATTATTCGCGTGTTTTCGAGGTGACGAAACATGAACACCTTAAACAAGTGAATGGAAGCACTCTTAGGATTAAGAACCACTTTCATAGGTACATCTTCCATAGTAAGTGTCCAAGTTGATCACCTTTTGGGGCTGAAAATACACTAAAATGTATACTTGGAATAAACAAGACTCATTTATTCAAACTTTTAAATTTATCGGTATATATTTTCACTGTTAAATCCTCTGACTATGTTGGCATACGGTGCCTGTCACGAACGCCGCAAAGAGACGCTTTGACTAAGTGGATGTCATTTAATTTGATAATGTATTCGGATGGGGTCCAGGATAAGCGACCGTTGGCGGGACATACGCCCGTAACTCAATAGATAATAATATTTCTAGAAAGACTTCAACCAAGCGACTAGTATTCACAAATGCCTAAACATTTTAATTCATAAGTTTCACTAAAGGCTGCACTACAGATGGCTGTCATGGTTCACTAGGTATAGTTTAAAATGTTTTCTGATTTGAAGTGAAGTGTGTCATATTGTAATCTCCGTGGAAAATACTTCTACTAACTAGGATGCAGATACATGTATACAGCTGATGTGTGGTTGATAGGACAAGACATTCAAGCTAAATTCCACTACCAGCCACCACGGACCAAATAATGCATAGTATATAAGGTTCAAAAAGCTTCGTATTAAGCCAATCAACAACCAACCACCTAAATTCTCTTCTTCAAAGTCGTCGTGTAGGCGTTTCCTTCTGTACCATTAAATGATTTATATATGTAAGCATAAAAGCTTCAGATCTTATACACAAAAAATAAAAAATGATTCTTTAGAGCCAGTAATTGATTTTTTTATTATTCAAAAAATCATTTACGCAATCATTTCTTTAATACTGTTTAATGAAATAGGAGCGTAGGTTAACATTTGCTTGCTTTAATGATAACAAGATGAGAGTGTAATTCTTATCAACTGATTATGCAACACTTATGTCTAGCCTTCAATTGATTAAAAATAATAATGTAGAACTATTATTTTTTTTTCGTTGAAAAAGACACCTGGGCTGCAGCACATCTTTGTTTCAGTGCTACAATAAAAATAGAACTGACTATAATCTATTTGTCTAATAAAAAATGTTATTCAAGGACAAAACGAAGGTCACTGATTGGCCAGTTGAATCTAGTTAATATGGTTTCACCAGCGTAAGAGTTACGTGCTTTGATTATTTATGAATAAAAGTTGAAATAAATAGATTTTACAGCATTTATGAAAACTTTAATTTCTAAAAGTTTACCGTAGAGTATGAATAACAAAGGAAGTCACTTCTTTCACCTACCTAGACACCATCAGCTCAACTAAATGTGGTAAAGAAGAGAATGTCAAAACTGACCAGGATCGGAATAACAAGACAGACTTTCATCAGTCTGAAATCACTGTAGAAATCTACTTCACTCAACATAATAAACAAGATTGGAATTTCCAACACTAATGTCAAATAGGCAAGGTTCAACAATAGCGTCCCAGGAGTGACCTTCAGCTGACCAATCATAAAAACGAGAAATGTTTCCTCGAAAAATGATGTATAATGACAATAAAATGCTTGAAAAAGCACTAATCAGGTTATCTTTCTCTGACATGGCTTAAAAATACGTCCTAGTTATATCGAGGAGTATCAGTTGCCAAGTCAGACTAGTTTCTGTACACGTATTCACCGAGATAACTACAGATGAGCTGTTTTTGTGAATCGTTTATCTCTCTCATCCTGCTTGCAGTCTTCCAAAACAGTCCTCGGTTGAATTATTACGGTTTCCAGCAAGGCGATAGACGACTGCTAAGCAGGAAAACGTGGATAATAAAACAAATCAAAATAAATGACATCAACTATAAATGTATCTCTAATCGTAACCATAAGCTTAATCCTGACCGTAACACTAACCCTAACTTTAATCCTTCCTCTAATCATAACCCTTATTCAAACCGTAATTCTAACCCTAATGCTAATTATAACCCTGATCCTAACCCTAACCCCAATACTTACCTTCATCTTAATCCTAACCTTAATGAGCTATTAACGCATTGCCCAAAAAGTACTTGAAAACGTGATCTGGGTGAAATTTACTGCTAAGCTGGTGAATAGCGTTGATATCTCAGCTATGATAATGACAGGTGCCGTTACCCAACGACTAGCATGAGTTCAAGGTCATTGGAGCGTTCCCACTAATGGAAAGCTTTTGTTAAACTTTTTTTCAAATTTCAAAGTCATGTGATAAAAATTGATATGATTATGAACAATAAATTGTGTTCGAAACGTCATCCAGTAAATAATACTGTTTCATTGTATGATACATCTAATAAACAAACTAATATGGAATTTGTTAAACTTCGTCGTCAAATCAATTCTTCTAGATAGTTCAGGCACTTGGTGTACACGTCACAAAAAAAGTTTTGAATAGGCTAATACTGACTTCTGCCAACAGCTGCCTTCGTTGCATGTTGAAGATGAGACAGCCAGTCAGTAAGGATATACAAGAAGGAACTCTGGAGACGAGTCAACTAAGAATCTATCACCCAAAAAGTATGCAGAAGGAAACAGAGATGGATTGGATAAACGCTGAGGAAACCACTGAATGACATCGACCATAGGGCAAGCTCTCGAGTGCAACTTGGTTGGAAAGAGATTAGTTAGGCGTCTAAAGGTGACATGGGGAAGATCTTGTGAGGGAGAGAAAAAAGTCTAGGGGCGGTCGTGGAGTCACCTAAATGAGGCTACAGAGAACAGAGTGTTATGAAGGTGTGTTTCTGAAGGGAATGATAATATCTTATATGATAACAATAAATACTGCTGAAAGCTTGTAAAGCATTTTGAAGATCTATTCATTTTGTGTATGAGTGTGTGCTTGTGTGTGCGCAGTATCCTTCATTTCGCAAGATCCTAATGGCACAGTTTCAAAAAGAGGTGGAATACAAATAACTGTTAGTTAATTCTCACTGGGAATTTAACGCTTGATGTCCTGCTCAGGACCCGAAGGAATAATAATAAACATATATCATACTGCTACTGAATACTCACACATTTATTTCTATGTCAGATGACAGCTGGGAGATGTCATAATATAATCAGTAATCTACAGATTGCCGTTTGGAAGCAAAGTTCGGAATTCATCCAAATTCCTTCAAAATGTATAGTTTAAGTTTTTTACGACTTGATCACATATTGATATCAGTTAGAGAACCATTGAAAGTCAGGGAGTAGAAAACATCTGTTTCATCCTGATTTGGGAATCATCGGCGGTACACACCCACGGCCAGGGTTCGAACCCAGGTCATTCCGGTTGCAAGGCAAGATCGTATATCACTCAGCCACTGGGACCCGATTCAACGGCCATCTCATGAATTCTAACTTCTACCAATTCGTGATTTTGCGTGACCCCAACCATTGTCGTCGGTGGAACATCCATCCTCACACGTGACATCTGGATGGATTTCACTGGTCACAACTTCTCACTAGAGCCACAGGAAACTCCATCCTGTAGCAAGTCACTAGCGAGCATCAGATTAATTTTCTATATTTTAATGTGTAAGGGTTAGTTATCTTTTTACGAGTTTAAGTACCCATCTCTAGCTCATTAATGGCTACTGAGGGAATATCTTCAAGATGTAGTGAGAAGCCGTGACCAATGAGATCCATCGTGTCAAGTAAAAGTAGATACTAATCAAAGGAATTCGTTGCGGATATCGTTATATCACGGGTAAATGTATTATATTTTGAGTGGTTGAATGATCACAAAGTTTGATCTCATAACGTGAAGGTCTCGGGTTCGATTCCTGGTGTTTTCATGGGTACACAGCCACAGAGTCCCAAACTATGGCGAAACAGCCATCCAAAGCTAGCCGGTTTTTAATGATTTCCCTAAATTATATATACATATATATATATATATGCATGGATCATTGAACGTGTCCAAGTGGCTGAATGGTCTACGGGCTTGCCTTGTAAACGGAAGGTCTCGGGTTCAAAACGCAGTGAGTGTGTTATGATGATGGGTCCCTGTCCAGTACTCCCTGGTTTTCAACGGTTCTCTAACTGATATCAATCTGTGGTCAAAGTCGCATAAACAAATCTAATCCATACAAATCAAACTATGGAAAATTAATCTGATACTCGCTGGTAACTTGCTACAGGACAGATTTTCCTGGAGTTCTAGTGAGAATTCGTGACCAGTGAGGTCCATCTAGTCAATTTTCAGGGTGGAGTTCTCACCAATGACACTGGTTGGTGATCGCGCTAAATGACGAACTGGTAGAAGTTAGAATTCATGCACTGACCACTGAATCGGGTCACAGTAGCTGAATGGTCTACGAGCTCGCCTTGGAACCGATAGGCCCTGGATTCTAACCCTATCGGTGGGTGTGTACTGTCGATGATTCCCAAACCAGGATGAAACAGCTGCTCTCTACTCCCTGGCTTTCAGTGATTCGCTAAATGATATCAATCTGTGCTGACTAGAAATATATATATATATATATATATATATCAGAGAACTCAATCTATGCAATATCGATTGAAATTTGAGTCTTAGTGATGAGAAATAATTCCTTTTTGTTTGGTATTAAATTTTGTCATAAAAAGTGTTGGTTTTTCTTTCGTTTGTTAAAAATACCAGACAATTTCAAGTTT